CTGAATCCAAAGAATTTTATGTTGACACAGTTAGGGTGCAGTAGTCTAACCTGTAGAGGTCAGGCTACAGCACCCTATGTGTGTCCCTCCATGGATATGCCTGCCTAGACCATCGCTGACCCATCACCAAACTGGTCACACAAACCGATTTTACAGGTAGTACAAGGTTCTCCTCAACTTCTCGAGACCTTTTCACATCTGTCACATGTGCTCAGGGTGAACCTGCTCACATCTGTGAAAAGCAAAGGGCGTCAGAGGTTGACCTGCCAATTCTGGTATTCTACAGCAAGCCAATCAGACTCCACTGAGCACCGACTGTTTGGACTCCTCCATCAGCTGAATTATAAAAAACAACCACATGGCTCCTTTACCACATTCTTAATGATTCCTTTAAGCTAATGGAATTCAAACCTTGTCCAAGAATAACAGAAACAGTTATGCCTTCCTGTATATAATCATCATTATATGGAGGGAAAATTTTGCCATTAGACCCACTATTTTCCCTTGATCAACACTGGACCATCTGGGTGGATATCAATTGGGTTCTAAACTCCTGAAACTGAGAAGGAACTTTTAGGTCCTGCAATGTTTGTTTTCTGTCTTTGGATTACCATGACAGATTGTAGCTATGGCATGCTAGACTGTGAACATGCCAATCCCATTGTGGTCTCCAAAAGTCTCTCATGCAGACCAGTGCTCTGCACTAATTAATTTCAGCTGGGTCTGTATAAATCTGCCACTGTCTGACTTGAAGCCCTTGCATTGCTACGGTGTAACAGTGTATATCCAATAGTTATTTGCACTCTTTTATTGGGTATCCCAACCACCACAGCCACACATCCTGCTCTCTGTTCCTCTCTTTTTCATCCATCTCTGGCTTTTCCAGAATGTTCCTCTCTGAGTCTGGCATGCCAGCAATAATCTTAACGTTCAAATGCACTCAAAAGAGAGAAGAGGGAATGAATCATGCTACTTGGGAGTCGCTTTCCCTGTCCTCCCTAGCTCCCTGTTACACGGACCCCCCTGAATCTGCTGCATTCCTTTCCTTGTCGTCTGCCCGCCTATGGGGGAAAGAAGAGTTAACGCTCTGGAGTAAAACAGGAAAACCACCTCATTGTTCCCAGGGTGACGTCAGGCACACTACAGTAGCTTTTACGCACAGTCAAACACACGTCAAACACACGGGAAAAAAAAAAGTCCCACAGCAGTGTACGGGGATGAGCACTCTATTCTTTGACATAACAAAGTATTTTGATAACTTCTCATCCATGTTTGGGGTTTGGGGCGACCGTGATTCAGGGGGTTGGGAAGCTCATCTTGTAACCCGAAGGTTGCCGGTTCAATCCCCAGCTCTGTCTGTCCTGGTCATTGGATCCTTGGGCAAGACACTTCACCCTACCGTGAGGGGCCGATGGTGCGATATGGCAGCCTCGCTTCTGTCAGTCTGCCCCAGGGCAGCTGTGGCTACAACTGTAGCTGCCTCCACCAGTGTGTGAATGTGAGAGTGAATGAATAGAGGAATTGTAAAGCGCTTTGAGTGTCTCTGAAAAGTGCTATATAAATGCAATCCATTATTATTATGTTGGCTTGAAAACTAACATGGAAACACTCATTGGATCCTGTCAAATATTCCAGATCTGTTCTGGAATGTTGTCTTCAAAATCAATAGCAAAACTTTAAATTTCAGCCAGAACCAGTCCTTTAAGTGTTCTGATTACTTCAGTCAGCTGAGGACGATTGTATCGATTAAGAAACTACAAACCTCATGGTTAGGTCACTTTGCCACATTTAAATTCACACAACTTGGCGGGATTGTAAACTACATTGAACAAAATACTTAATTCTACAGATGGTAGATTGACTGGTGCTGTTCTACTCTACCTGAACACTCATTAGTACTTTCTGCCATAAGCCTCATTCACCGGTTCTGTGACTTGTTTAACATCCACACTCTTCAACCCTGGAGAACCCATGGGGTCAGAGCCGACCCCATTGGTTTTCGAGGGAACCCATGGGGTCAAATTTGACCCCATGGGTTCTCCAGGGTTAAGGACACTTAAACATGCAGACTGGAGGAGTCAGGAATCAAACCACCAGCCATCAGATTGGTAGATATCTCGCTCTATCGCCTGAGCCAAGGCCAATGTGATCTACAGCCTACTAAGTTACAGGCTCTTTAAAAAAAAATTTATTTTCTTGGCATTTCTTGGATAGCAACAGTGATGATAGACAGGAAAGCTGAGAGAGAGAGAGGGTAAGACACGCATCAAGGACTTCTATATACTCTTTACGCTAATGGAGCTAATTCAATCAAACCTATGATAGCACTAGGTTTATACTGATTTTGGTCTATGTATCGCCATGTGAAAGAGAAAATACACCTTTTTAACTGTAATAAATATAATAAACATTATCTGATCTTTAACAGGTTCTAAAGTGATTTAAAAACAACCTGACACGAACAACATCACCATGCATTACACACGGTTACAAAAACTGAGACAAAATGCATAAGCCATGTGTGAAAACTATATATATATATATACAGAGGAGCTGATGGCCAACTCAACAACAAACAGTTGGTATGAGGGGTTTGTATTAATATGCTATGTTTAGTTTTCTTCAAACATAGAGCTCCACATTTTGGCCAAATATCTCCACTTAGGTGTTTTTGTCCAAAGGACGTTGTTCCACAAGATTTGTTCAGATGAAACTTTGCAAACCAAAAACGTGCTGCCATTTTCTTTTTAGACTGAATAGGCTTTCTCTTGCCAACTCTTCGAAACAAGCCGTTTTTGTTCAGTCTTTTTCTAACTGAACTTTCACATTTAACATGCTAACAGAAGCCAGTAGAGTCTGAGACGTAGCTCTTTTATTTTCTGTATTACACAATCTGACTTCGGGCTGAATTTGCTGGGATTTCCACTCCTAGAAAGATTGACAATGGTGTTGCATGTTTTGAATAATCTTCTTTAGAGTAGATGGACTTCAAATTGTTTGGATTTGGCCTTAAAACCCTTCCTAGACTGACAGACATCAACAGTTGCTTTTCTAAGATAATTGCCGATGTGTTTCCTCCTAGACATCATGTAAACACACACCTGAACACTCCAGACCAGTAAGCAAACTGACACAACTGATGATGCTCACACATGTTGATGATAAATTGACTAAGTGCTTGATCAGTGCCTGACTGCTGTAGGGGAAGCTACTTGGGAGCACTTTTTCACATACTGTGTCTGCATTTTAGCTTAGCATTTGTTGAATAAAAAACTCAGTATAATATATAATGTTTTACTGTTCATCTGAGGATCTGATGGGGTCACTGGAGGGTAGTGGTAAAATCCTTTCCCTCACACACTCACCAACCTCCATTTTGCATTGTGTTGGGTACTAATTAGCAAATGTCAACATGCTAATTTAAGATACAGTACAGAGCAAACAGTACCTGCAAAACATGTTAGTATTTTCATTGTGAGTATGTTAGTGTGCTGATTGTTAGCATTAATCTCAAAGGTTTGCTTAGCTGTAGGCTCGTACAGCTCTTTTTCACCAACTATGGCAGCTGTGACTACTTTTTGACACTAGCACCGGTCATTTCATGACTGAGATGCAGTAAAGAAATGATTAGGGACCTGAACCTTTTCAGTAGAAAACCGCTACTAGCATTGTCGCTTATCATTGCTTGGTATATTACATACACAATATGGCCAAAAGTAGTCGTAGTCGTCGTTTCTTCAAGAACCACTTTTGTGAAGTCAGACACTAACTGATAAGAAGGCCTGGCTCACCGCCTCCACTCTAATTCATCCCAAAGGTGTTCTGTCAGGTTGGGGTCAGGACTCTTTGCAGGCCAAATAAGTTCTTCTACACCAAACTCACTCATCCATGTCTTTATGGGTCTTGCTTTGTGCACTGGTGCACACTTATATTAGAATGTGCACACTTATATTAGGGCCCATCCCCAAACTGTTCCTACTAAGCTGGGGGTATGAAATTGTCCAAAATGTTTTGGTATGCTGACGCATTAAGAGTTCCTTTCGTTGGAACAAAGGGGCCAAGCCGGAATCCTGAAAAACAGCCCCACACCACAATCCCCCTCCACCAAACTTTGCACTTGGCACAATGACAATATTAGACATGTGCTGTTCTCCTGACAACTGCCAAACCCAAACTCATCTATCGGAATACCAGACTGAGAAGCACACTCACTCATGCTTTACACCACTGCAAACAACACTTAGTGTTGTGCTTTGCAATATGCGGCTTGGATGCAGCTGCTCGGCCATGGAAACCAATTCCATGCAGCTCTGTATGCACTGTTCTTGAGTTAATCTGATGGCCAATCTGATTTTCTGATGAAATTTGGAGGTCCATGGAATATTTAATACAGAAGAAATTTCACAACTGGATATATAACACGGGTGGCATCCTATCACAGTTCCACACTGGAATTCAGTTAGCTCCTGAGAGTGACCCATGTTTGAAAAAGCACTCTGCATGCCTAGGTGCTTGATTTAATACATCTGTGGCCATGAAAGTGATTGGAACACCTGAATTCAATGATGGGTCATTAATCAATTTTGGTAATAATGTGTTTTAGTAGTTCTATTAACATAGTAGACCAGTTTTAGACACATATTAGTATTTTTATATATCTAAGCGTGTATTTTTAAGATGTTTTAAGACTTCCTTTCCTAATATGTTACTGTAAGATTTTATTGCAGTTATTTAAAACTATAGATCTCCTTAATATTTAATTATTCATATTACTGAATTAAATCTTACTGCTACGTGAATTTCCTTTTAAGACCTTGAGTAAAAACAGAAATTGATCTGAACATGGCAATGACATAACTCCTTCAAACTGCATACTAACACACGTGTGAATTATCCCGGACCGGTATGAAGGTGGAAAAAGTGACACTGATTAAATCCAATACCCGAGCGGTGACATCACTCCCCTCCGTGATGGGGCTGCGTCCGGATTGGACGGAGTTCGCGGCCAATCAGAGAGCACACACATGGGAAGAGTTTTAAAAAGATTCGGAAAAGTGTTGGAAAGTTGTCCAAAAGCCTCCGCCAGCAGGTCCGAGCACGACTGGGGCGAATAATAATATTATTAATAAAAAGAAAAGGGGGTAAAAGATACCCGCGGATTTGTTTGGGACTTTCTCTGCGTGCTTTCCCTGCCTTGTTTGGACAGAGAGCTCTAACCTGCTTCTCCATTTTTAAAGCTCTCCCCTAGCTCCACTGTAAATAGCCAAAAAAGAAAAGAAAAGAAAACCCGACAGAATGACAACACATTTCAGGAGCGGCCCAGCCTTCGGACTCTCCGCCGAGGTCAAGAGTAAGGTATGTTTTCTTTCTTCTTCTTCTTTTTTTTTTTTAATATTAGTTATCCAGAGTGTGTTTGGATGCTGTGGTTGAAGCATGGGCTCCTCTGGTGGGGGTCAGAGGTCCACAAAGGGTCAGTAACAGGTTGATCTACCCAGTATAATAGCAAAGTAAACAACAAGCTCTCTATGCTTGCTGTAAATAGGCAGTTTTTCCAACGAAACTAACTGTGATGAAAAGAAACAGAAGAGAGGGTTTGTGGTGGCTGCTTTCATAGTCCAGCATGTTGAAACAACTAGCAGCAAACGACGTAGAGATAAATACACCTGCTGTTGGCCTGTGGCTCTGCATCAAACAGTTGGAAAGGAACTCCTACATGTATCTTAACGTTACACCGAGGGGGGGGGGAGATATCATCGGTGATGTGATCTCATTCCAGTTTAATTTCAGGTTGTGTGCTTGGGAAAACCGCTGCGGTGACACACTTCTGTCTTTTGGTAAGCGATCACACAGTGAAGGAGGTGATTGTTTTGGAGCAGAAAACAGGCTTTAGTGGCCAAATGATTCGTGCGATTATGCAGGGTCAGGGCTTTATAGTGTGCTGGAGTGAAGCACGTGGTGGAGGAAGTGCTCTGTTATTGTTGTTTGGCTGATCTCCCCTCAGAGAAATCAAAAAGTGACTGAAACATGGAAGAAGGTGATCTTACAAAGGCTGAGCTTGAAGCTGCACTGTGCAGTGAGAAAGGGGGTTGAACAGAGAAATTAGATGAAAACTACACACACGCCAACATTAAAAACTTAGTGTATCATTAGTGAGTGTGCACCCCTCACTAATTATACTACATTAAAATTCACATCCTCCACCTTTTAGGAACCTTTTCCTAGACGTAAATGGATGTGCATGTCAGAGAGCAAACTGGAAAGCAGTTCCATATATATAATTACATATGACACAAGTTTAACAGGAAGTATTACATTCAGTAAGCTTTGAAAGATTGTAATGATTAGGTCAGTGAGAGTATTTATTTTGGGATGTGGAATATTGTTGCTAATATACCAAATACAATATAATAGATATATATATCACTTTGAAAAATTATGTTCCACCCTGCCAAAATAGTGAGAAATTATCTGTGTTGTGCCATTGCACATTATATTACTGAATTTTTTTTATTTTTTTAAAAACTGGCCGGATCACCTGACAAGTGTTGACTCACATTCCACCTTTAAATCAGTTTGTACCTGGGTAAGGATAAACATGCACAATCCTGTTTTGTTTTTGTTTTTTCAAGCTTTTTTTGTGTTGTCACAGTTGTGGGGAAGCTAGGCCGGGTTCACTTTGTGAGTGTGAATAAAATTACTGGGATTTTCTGCTTGTGCGGTGACAGCAGTGACTCTGTATGTTTGGATGAGTCACAGCTGCTAACAGCCAGAATGACAAAGGTCAGCCTGTGACTGTTCCAATACCCAGATCATCATCATTATAATCATCATTGCCCTGGCCTCTTCGCTGAATGGTGCCATCTCTCAGCTGTGCTTTAGTCTCATGCAGAGGTGCAGCACACTCTATGAAGCCCGCATTCCTTTCAGCAGTCAGGCTGCTATTTTACCGACACCACTGTGCCATTTCCAAGCCGATCACGTACACGCAGTGAGTGGAAATTGAGAAGTAGGGTCGTGTGTGTGTGTGTTGGGGGGGAGGGGGGGATATAAAATTTTTATTTAAGCCTAAGGGCTTAAATGAGAGTAATGGCGGGATGCTGCGTTCCAGCAGCGTGACATCAGAGAGGGGCAGAGATGCAGCAGAAAGACTGACAGGTACAGGATCATCATCTAATGGCCTTTTATGGAGTGACTGGGCTCTGACTTGGAACGTGAGAAAGTGTGCTCACTCTAAACAGTTTACATCCAAGTCAAGAATGACAAAACACTGTCCTGATAGAACACAGGTGGACAGGAGACAGATAGGCGATAGATAGCAAAGACAAGGCCATGCCAGTAGTTCACACAGTGAATCCAAGGAGACTCGATGCAAACAAATAAATGAGGGAGGGGCGGAAATCCACATATCAGGCACTAACAGCTCAACTCGCGTATTTACACCAGCGGTTACAGCAAATAGTCTGTGATAGTGTAGCAAAGCTTTGGAGCCATTCTTGTGAGCCTGTTTAATTTTCTCTGTCACAGTCCACTGCTCGGGTCAGTACACCCAGAGTTTAGCTGCAGCAGCCCTACTTGGTTCGAACTGACCGTTAGCTTATGGTGACAAATGCTGGCAGTTTTTCCTCCTGCAAACTGCTGTGTAGGTGACGTGTGTGGCATGGCTGCTTCAGCTTACTGGCACTTCGTAGCTCTTTCCTATTGTTACACTTGTTTTTGAACTCACCACTATACAGTGCAGGGCAGTCCACATTTTTCTTTTTTTTCTTTTTTTTTTTTTTTTTTGGACAAGTTGTGCTTTAAGGCAGGCTATCAGTTTGATCTTTGAGTGTAAGGTTAATATTTCAAAATCCCATTATATGTGTTTTCTTAATAAATCCATGCTGTAGCTGCACAGTATGACTCCTTAAATAAAATTGGCTGTAAGCTCTAAGATTATTGAATATATATTTATTTGAAGTACAAAACATCTGAAGAAAACACCAAATTAGCAGAAAATTCACTCATAAAACGAAGTGATAAATCTCAAACATGCAATACATCAATGGAGATGAAGCCAGCAATTGCTAAACCTCTTGGTCTTATTTGATCCCTGTGAAAATGTTGGGGTTACTGGGGGCTTTTTCTTATTTTCCCTTTTAAGTTTATTGTTCAAAAATCTAAATTATTATAACTCTAAAAGAATTAGAGCGTTATTGCTTTATTTCTTCTCATTTATTAATCATCCTACAATGTCTTGTTAATCCTTTATTTCAAATCTTCAGGAAAGGGCCAACCCATGGTTTTAGAATCAATATACTGTAGTATTTGCCTAACTGTATATAAAGCAGACAAACACGGGCTCCACCTCAGTTATCTGCAAAACTGACTTTATATATTGATACTGGGTGTCCCCTCAGGGATGATGATTTATTAAGAGTTGTTTTGTTTTTTTCAGAGTAATTCATTTGACTTTTCACGTGACATCCTGACACACTTTGCTGACAATCTTGTACTGGTTGTACTGGTTTTTTAGCTTCACGTGCCACTATTTAACCCTTTAAAAAGAGCCGACCACCATTAATCAAATAAAAAGTTCTTAAGAAATGAAATGCACCAAACTGGAGTTCAGTGCAGTCAGAAGATTTACTGCCACAGCCTTACTTGGTCTGGTATGATCAGCCACACGTGGGGCTACTTTTAGCTAATGCTGGCTAAGCTAAGACAGCTAGCATAATGTTCTGATAGCTTTTGCTATGATCTTAGAGTTACTGATTCTTTTTATTTATTTATTTATTTATTTATTGTAATTACCACTCATGGTGGAATTACAAGTGTTACATGCTCTCGATAACATCCGTCAGTATACAGTCAGATCATTTTTTGTTCTGTTTGCCTTTTCTCTCTGTGTGTTTCATGCCTAAAATAGTTTTTATTGTGGCAGTGGTGTTCGGCAATCAAAAGACAAAGCACAATTAAATCAAACTCCCCCCGACTGGAAGGGGGACCTGTTGACTTGGTGTGCCTTTATCGGACATTGGGTGCCTGAATAGTCAACTCGCTGTAAAAGGGCAGATTCTGGAAAACCCAAAGGGAGAGAAGAAGGAGAGAGATTGTGAGGGAGAAATATGAGCGCAGCCAATCAAATACACAGAGCGAGACAGGCAGAGGGAGAGGGAGGAGTGTTTAGGAAAAGCTGTTTCTCCCAAGTTTGGTGTGATGGACTGGAGTCCACGCTATCCCCTGCTGCTTTGAAATACTTGTTTGTGTTGGCTGCTGATCCCAGACTGTGAAGACTTATCTGCAGAACATTCAGGAAGTGTGTGTGTGTGTGTGTGTGTGTGTGTGTGTGTGTGTGTGTGTGTGTGCAGTGAAGGGGTGAGGTGGGGGGGGCAGCCTTAAACCCCCATGCCAGAATTCAAAGTATTAGGGCAGTGTGTTTATGCCAATAAGGAAATGCATGGAGAGAGAGGGAGAGGCCTGTGTGTTTCTGCATGCAGAAATGTCCACATTTCATTTTCCTTCCTGTTCTCTTTACACCTCAGCTTAGAGTATTTTTCAGTATATAGTAAGACTTTCAGATATGGAGCGTCATCCTCTGTGAGACTCTGAGGCATGAAAGAAGCTGCTATTCACGTATTTAAGGATTTGAATGTTGTATTTTAGATTGCAGAGTCTACTATTCTCATACCAATTTCTCACATACAGTATCCTTATACTTTCAACTATCAGTAAGAATGATAACACTTTATTAGACATATGTGTAAATTATACATAGTTTCCTGATAAATCTTTAGGAAGGCACTCCACCTTGAAATAAAACGGAGAGGCCAGTTTTCAATTAGTGCACTTAAATAATCCATCTCATACAGTAATGTGCAAAACTCTTTAGCCACTCATCATTTCTTTATATTTTACCTCCCAGGAGGCTGACTTTGTTGCCCTTCTTTTTTTTTTTTTTTTTTTTTTTTTTAAAAAAAAGAGGTCCTGAGGAATAATTTTTAAGTTCTTCAGAGTTTTTCTTTGTTTTGTTTTTTATACTTATTTTCAGTCCCATTCTTGTAGCTGACTATTTTCAGAGGAATGTTTTTGTTTAAGTCACTTAACGCTGACCTCTGAATCATCAAGCATTAAAAAAAAGTCTTGTGTCGACACATAACAGACAACTTCCAAAAGAACCAATTTTAAATTGTATCTTTTGGCGTTTTGTTACTAGCAGCCTGTCAAAGAAACATATAATTTGTACATGTTTCTTTTGATAAATAATAAAATAAAATTTGCCAAATATAAGAGTTTGAGGGGAATAAAATTTTATTTTTGCACCAACAAGGTGATTCCCAAAAAGCTATTAGCTGAAAATGTAGCAAGCTCAGCCTGTGTGTCCTTAAAAGGAGGGACAAGTAAACAAAAGAAAGTGCCGGGTCTTAAAAAGAAAAAAAATAATAATAAAGTTTATCTGCTGAAGATATTATTATCTAAAAGTCATTAGGAACATCAAGAAACTGGGGAAGAAATCCAGCAAAGATCTAACTCAGAACCTGAGAGATGTATCTGGTCCTTTTGCTCCATCTCATCAGAAAAGGTGTCAGTGGAAGGATGAAGGAAGGAAGTAGCCATTCTTAAAGAACCAAAACGGGAAGAAAAGGCTGGGCTATGTCACATTATACATGAAAATCAGTGGAAGCCAGTCCCATATGGAAAAGATAGATAGATAGATAGATAGATAGATAGATAGATAGATCGAAAAATTCTATAATGAAACTTGTATGTTTTGGATACTTACTAAAACAATGTATGAAAGTAATGAGAAAGTGGCCACTTTCATGAGTAATCACATAAGTTTTTACTATTTCTTTTCCATATGGGGTCTGATGAAGCGATAAATCTGCATTTGAAACTTTTGGTTCAGATCATCTCAATATGTATGGAGAAGGTCAGGAGAGGGGTATAACAGTGGGCGGGTTAAGCCATCTGCAAAACGTGGTGGAGGTTAGGGCCACATTTCAGCTAGTGGTGTGATCTTGTCAAAAATGATGGAATTATGAATACTGAAAAAATACTGTCAAGTTTGATCCTTTTAGTACCATAGGGCAAGTATCTGATTGGCAACAGCTTCATTTTTCAGCATGACAATGCTCCCAAAGACACTGTGAATGCAGTAAAAGCATATACACACACACACACACACACACACACACACACACACACACACACACACACACACACACACACACACACACACACACACAGAGCTTCAGGGAGCAT